AACGGGAAAATGATAAACTCGAAACCTTAGAAAACCTATTGTAATTGAAGGAATTCCTTTTGAGGCCGAATATGATCTCCATCAAGCTAGTAGGACCCCCACCTTCTTCCTCATTGCCGGGAAGAAGAACAGTCAAAAACAATTCCCTCAGTTCAGGCACGACCCTCTGCCCAGTGACCTGGTGCGACACCCCTGACGGGATTTTCCCAGCGATACTCTATCCAGGCTGCTTAAGAACCTGAAAATTTAATCCCTTCACACTTTTTAGGGCACTCAGTAATTTCCACAGTTTGGTATCTGGAATATGATTTTAGCTTCTAAACAATTTATATCGGAAACTAGACTACTCTCTTGAAATCAATAAAAAAAATTTATTTCAAGGAAAGATTCAATATATGTAAACTATATCACAGTTTTATAAACCAATGTTGTAATCGTTATTGAACAGTATAAAACAATCAAATATCAGTTTAAATTACATTTACTCATTACAGACGGAGTAACTCCTTTGGTTGGGCGATCGCATTATTACTCAGTCGTGTTAGTTACTATTATTCTCGCCGTGATAGCCATATTCGCTGTTTTATTTAATGAATCGACGAAAAGATAAAGTGCTAAAACATGCAAATTGTCTACGGTGGTGGAAGTTCAGCTGCAAGTCAGGTAAACATTATGTACTTACAGGCAGCACTGAGCAAATATCCCTAAAATTGCCTGTATCGATATGTTGACTTAAACTCTATAAGTAGACACTACGTATCACAGATCCTGAAGGAAGGCGTGTCTACGGACATAGATGTGGGTGGGGCAGGTGTACACTATGAATTCAGGACAGCGATGTGCGAACGGCGCTACATTACACTCTCTATATCCCTGAGACGGAGTAGGCGTGGCTTTTGTGCACGGCATAGGACGGGTTCTCGTAGGATACTTTCAATTTGAAACAACTGCTATCTTGTACTGTGTTAAATGTAGACTTGATTACTAGTGCTCGAAAATGACAATATCTCACGAAAACCTGGACCGCCGCCATTTTAAAATCAAGTACGCAGCCACGCCTACCCGATCTTAGGGATTTCGAGTATATTGGGTCACTCGGCCTGTGTGAAAACATTGGCTACACCCTCAAGCTCTTCTTTGTAAAACCGGCCATTTGGAACAGATACGCAATCACAGCCGAGCCTCACAACCGAGTCGTGGAAACCGCCAACTCCGTCCCTGTATAGAACGCCAGGGTGTATGTGCTGAATATCTTTGATTGCATATAGGGGTCCTCGCGACCACAGAATAACTGGAAAATTGTGATAGCGGCATTCTCTCAGAAATACTAGTGGCAACTTGCACAGCAGACTGAAGACCATATTGGCCGATGGCAAAATTTGGTAAACAGTTCAGTACTGAGAGAGATACTAGTGCTGCTTTGTTGTCTGAGCAGACTAACAGGTGTGTGCCCTGAGGATTGACGGCATCGCGCCAAACTTAGGTCACATCTTTTGGCGTTCGTGGACCACGGGTACAGGGACGAGAAATCGCCTCATATCTCGCGCTGTGGCTCACCTTCAGCGCAGTGCCCTCAGTTGCGAATGTTGGCATATACACTTTAGGTCGTCAGATTTCTTAGTCTTGAGCTTCATTTTGGCTGAGCCCCTATGAATAGGGGAGGATCGAGTGTTCTGCATGCAGGTAGTCCCCGCCGACATACTGCAGGTCTTTACATTAATCAGACCGTGCTTGCGTGGCGAATTGCCACGGAAGTGGCGGGACATTGGCACCTCTTCCGCTGCGTCGCAGCAACGCAGTACATCCTACCTGCACCCCCTATAGGCTGTAGCCAGGAATTCAACACTTGTGTCTACAGGCTTATTTTTCCATTCCGCATACCCCTCAAGAAAACGTCTTTTTTTTGAAAAAAATCATATTTATTATACTGGTTTACAAAACTTATTCTGAAGGCGCTGAAATTATCTCCTAAAGGGATAATACAGATATTTCCTTCACCATAAATCAACAGCATTTCTTACAGATCAGTGGTCCTACGGCGTATTATCCACGTGATTCGTACTACTGCTCTCAAGGGATGAAGCACATCTAATCTAACATGTCTTTGCGTTCATGACGGCGTCCTCAACATATACACTTATCATCTACCTACTTAATGCAATTATTGATTTTGTTGTAATAAAGACGAGGTATAGTCTGTGTATTAATAGCAAAAGAGAAACGATGATTTTGTGGACTGAATGCACCGAGCAATTCAGTTTGTCTACCATTTCCATAGTTCATTGTATTACTAAATCGGGACCTTTATAGCATCTAGATGATGGGCGTGTGTAACTGAAGCTGCATTTACAGAATTTATTGCTTTTGATTGATCCACCTTTAGGGGTGAGGTACGGATTCATTTTTGTGTTGCAAAGTCGTAAGGCGCGTTTCATTTGCAGCAGCGTATCTTGAGGCGTGTGCGCAGCGTAAGCGACTCAGAAAAGTGTCAATATCGATCTCCCTCAAGGTTAGGGTATACGTACCAATCTAAGCGTCTGGTTCAGCGTTGCTTGCGTGCCACCAGCAGCTATCAGGTCCGGAAGAGGAAGCGATGTGCGCTATGCGTGGCTATATGGAAGTAGCAGCTGTTTGGCTCCCTCTTGCGCCATACTCCCCTGTCCCGGACATTGGTAGGGCTGGAGGACGCTGGCAGATGCTAGGTTGATAACTATACTTTCCTGGGTCGATGACGCTGCCGAACGCTCGGACCCTGGTGGTCGCTATTGGTAGCTGGTAAAAGCTGCCGCAAAGTATGAACGCAGAATAACCGCTGACCGAAAGGCATATGTCCTAGACAATGATTTATCAGCCTGTGTGCAGTCGTTTTCGCTATAGACGCTTGGTCGTGTCAGGGAGGGGTGGGTTAGAAGCAGCCCGTTCTCCATGAATACTTGAAGCGGGCAAACGACACCAAGTAACGGAAAACGGACTGACGCAGCGCCAGGTCAGCAAAACGACTACAGAACTCCCTTCTCTTACCAATCTACAGGTTCCGGAGGGCAGAAGGTATGATTGGTCTATGTGGAGCCGATCCGGGATTAGACTCCAGTTGGTCGTCTCGGAAAGCGGTCCACCTGCTGCTACGACATCCCCGGCTCTTTATTCACAGTGCACCAGAAAAGTAGGGAGTGGGGCCAAAGGTAGTTGGCCACTTCTGCGCTTATTTCAACACAGATTGATTACTGCTGCGATTATGTCCAACCATTCCTGGGTTCGGGCAAAGTTTGATAGTTACAGAAACGGAGGTGGTGTAGTGGCAATGGACACGCTTATCACGCGCACGGTTTGGAGATCAAATCCCGGATCGGCTCCCGCCTACGCCAATCAAGCCTTCTACTCTGTGACAGTGAACTGTCACCAGCTCCGTCTGGGAGGATAAGAACACTGACTTGTACATGGCTGGCCCCGCAAGTCATTGTATAGGCCACATCGCATTCAATAAGCCACTACGATTCTGAATGGAAGAAGAGTGCAAGCCGCAGCCCACAGAAGAATTTCTGAAAGTCACAAATTCATAGTTGAGCGACTGCTCGACCGTTATTATTTTACAGTATGCCATAAAGAAATTGGTGTTATATTTATGTGAAGCTCGCTAGCTCGATCACACATGAGCTGGTCTCGACAACATCATGTCATCAAACACAGCTCACAAGTCACGAAGTGGTACCAAGTGTACCTGAGTGAGACCGGGTGTAAGTGGGCCTCGAGGGGCGCTCGTGAGCCATGAGAGGAGTTCTGATGTACTCAATGAGTAAGCGTTAAGAGAAGTGATTTCGCAATCGACGCGACGAAAATTAACTGGATGGAAGGAGAGCCAAGATCTTCTACTCTGCTACATAAACAACAAGTATACACAATAGTAGTAATAATAGTTATATGAGTTACATCTCGCATGTCAGTTCCGAAGGTAACCACTCAGTGAGGCCATATTTATTTTCGGTGGAGTTTCCTTGAAATAATCGTTGATTTACTCCAAATTCTGGAGATATGGAGGGCGTGACTGCATTCGTCGTTTCAGTGAAGCAGTCTGAGTGTAAAAGTAACTCGATATCGTCATAAAGCCATGTTTCTGAATTTATATAAGTTTCACTGCTTCAGTCGACAAAAAGAAGCACACCGAGCACTTGCCGCACGGCACGTCGTGCGCGAAGACGCGACATTTCATGATAGTCTTGTCCGTCCTACTGTACAGGCGCCGTCCACCAAATCTGGTACAGCTTAGACTGCCCTTTAGGTTATGGAGCGCCTTCCCAAAAGGAATTGTTGCATGTTGTAGGGAATCACAAATGGATCTCAGAA